TTTTACTTAGTACCTGATGTACATTTATACATTATTTTGCATTTTAAAAATCAAATACATATGTTTGTTTTTGAATGAAGATTTATCGACCTTTGAAATGATTGAAATTTCCAGTTATTTAATCACCTTTGAGTCGCAAAACTGTGTTTGGCGGTATCATCATTAAGAAGACCACCAATGAATTCAGGGAACATACAATATCTGGAAACAAAAAACACGGTTCGTAGCAATCCAACACGTCTTTGGAAAAACGATTCTAGTGATCTGCACTGTAATAAACCGTAATAAAATTCACAATCAACGTAGTATATAAATATCACGGTTGATGTTTTTAACAAATTAATTGTTTCTTAAGAATTATGCCGTGTGAACGGTAAAATAAAAAACCGACAATTCAATGCAATATCAAAAAAGCTGCAATTGGAACTGCTGCTCTTACTAATATTTCTTTGTCTTTCCAATCACTTATTTTGATCAGAGCTTCTACGATCAATTAGAATTTCGCAACAAACTGAATAATAGCTTCGTATCGGTGCATCTTGTTTCACATAAGTAACTGAACAATGTTTATAAACTGACTTAAAGCGCAATTCTTGATCTAAGAGACATCGTGAAATTTATAAACCGATTTGTTTGCAAAATGTTTAACCCTTTAACACATAAGGGATCTTTTGGACCCTATATTGAACTAGTTTATTAAAATGTTCCACAGCAGTGTTAACCGGATAATTTTACTAAGCGTGTAGCAGGCTGTCTTATTTTAAGCGCATGACGCTTTTAATGACCGCCACTGTATGTATGCAGTTACATTCATATGTATGTATGTATGCATGTGCATTTTTTGCGTAGGCGGGAAGTAGTCACATAAAAGTGGTTGAGTTGCTATTTCTTGTTTTTGTTTTGTCTTCAATTTGTTTAACCATTGTTCTCATTTTGTTTTGTTGTTTATTGTAGTTGCATTTGCATTGTTGCAACATTTCTTAGCCAACTGGTAAATCCGTTAAGTGATTTGATTTAAATATGTATACACAAAACTGCAGTAAGGCAACTCCGAAGGCGGTTTATCAGTAAATATTAGTGAAAGTGGTGGCAAATGACTATGTGTATGTAATTTGGTATAACTATTGTACCTATAACAAGTTGCATAAGTACTTTAAGTGTTGAAGTACTTGAGAATTGCTTATATACATACATAAGCAAAAATAATAATTAAAAAACCCCAAAATACATTACCAAAATCTTAAAAAAGTAATTTGGAAAAATAATGTTTGTATGCAATAATATTTATTACTCGCTTTGCTCTGCATGCTGTCTGCTCAGATCCGGAAAAGTTTGTCTTTGCTGAACAATCATAATCAATTGGATTAATTAAGTGACAAGGAACCGGGCGCTGTGGCAATTTTCAGCGTTGAGGGGGTGGAATTGTAAAGTTCCCACATTAGTGAAATTAACGGAAGAGGAAGAAAATGGCAAATTACTATGTTTGTATACCTCTACTACTTACATAAATAGTTGCATGTATGGAAATGAAAAGATTTGCATACGTAAATACATGTATGCATATTTGTGTGTATATTTTTTATACAGAAGGTTAAATTTTAGTACATAATTTACTGGCTAGCTAACGATGATGAGATAAAAGCTGAACTGTGGCAGATGAATGCACGTTTGGCACCAAAAGCGGTGGCGTTTCAATTTATTACTTAAAAAATTTATAAAAGGGCCGTTCCATTATAGATAGGGTGACATTTTATTCCAGAATGTGATCAATTGTGAATTATACGCTTTCGTTCTTAATAAAAATGAGGTTTATATACTTAATTTTCATAGAAATATTAAAAAATATTTAAAATTGTGACTGGTGGGACATCTCCTTGTGACTGGTGTAAAGTAATTATGCACGAAATAAAAGTTTCCATATACAAAAATTACAGCTTCTTTTGATTTTTTTAATATTTTCCCGCAGATTAATGAAATGTAGTCATTTAAAAAGAGGTTACTACTGAAATAGAGATAATTAGGACATATTTAAATTTATGTCGGTTTCCTCTTTTCAGTGGAGTGACCCAAAAGCTAAGTTCATACTACGTTAAGGTGGTGTGATTCACAAATAAAATCGTTGTTTAACCCATTGTTTTCTAAAATTTGCTGGTAACTTTGGTTATTTTCTGTTATACCCTCCACCAAAATAAAAGTAATAATAATAATAATGTCTTAAAAAGGCATCACAATTAAAAATGATCATTTTTTTTTTAGTCCTTTCAAAGATTTGGCGTATAGCTGGAAGTCGACGGCTACTCAAATTTTTTTTTTGGTACAAATGCCACATTGTTACAGGCAGCCAGCAGGGTTTATCTTAACAAATTTTCTCCATATAAAAAAAGTTTCACTCATACTTTGAATGGAGGAAAATGCGTAGAACCGCCAGAAAAATATATTAAAAATTGACGCCATTTCTTAGCCACTTAATTTTTACACATTATTTCCAATAAAAATTTAGATTGGATTTTTTGTTTTGTAAATAAACGCATACATACATACATATGTATGACAATGCACACATACATATGTGCAAGATCGCTTCCCTTTAAATATTCGGACTCATTTTAGAGACAGAAAAGCTCAGAGTTCTGAGTTGTAATCCTCATTATGAGCTCAATGAGTATATTTCCCTTCTTAGGAGGGTGGCCAATATGACTCCAACTTAGGAGTCATATTAGAGTCTGAAATATGACGCTTTCTGAGTCTTAAAAACATTTTTTCTATATATGTACATAATTCTGATTACTAATAAACTTTTACTTCTACGTGACCTTTGTTACTTTTGTTCCACTCAGAAAGAGTCCGAAATGTGTCAGTCGGGTTGATTGGTCTCGGAATCATATTTATGACGAAAGAAGCACTCATTCTAGACTCATAAATTCTGGGCACTCAGAAAATTCTTTAAAGGGTTTGTTCTCGCAAACATATTCTGAAAGCTCAGAATATATGAATCCGAAATGAGTTCTATGTAGATGGGTAAGAAATATAAGTTTCAAGAACAAAAAATGTGTTAGCGATGTCTAGAAATTACTGAAAATATGGAGGGAACACTTTTACACCCTACTGAATGGTAAAAACAGTCAGTGCATTCGCGACATGGCACTCACGTCACTCTTGACAGTCATAATTTCGAGAAAGTAGGAGAATTTCGGAATTTCGAAATCCAACGCAGAGTAACTACACTGAGGGGAAAAAATATTAAAATCAATCAGAAACATAGTTGATCTTACTATAAACGTCAACGAAAGTACTGTACAGTGGTAAATTCTCAATTCAAACACGCGGATAATATAATGAAGCGTTCGTTCGTTCAAAAGCATCCGTGAAGTGAACAATCAAGATAAAAACAAACACAAAATTTAATTTGCATCTTGCCCGCAATGGAATTCAGACCCTGATTCTCTGGGAGTTGACAAATTGTGGCAAGCATATTTGCGCACTCAGCTACAGCACCACACGCGATTAGTGCATGTGTGCAGATCAACATCTACGATGTTTGTATGTGTGAGTTGTCACCGCTCTGCATGCTTGGTATACATACCCTGCAGAAAATTTAGTTAATTTGAAAGTAATTTATAAACTACTTTATTTTCAATGATAACTAATTGAAATTCCCACTATTTTACCTGCAAGGAACTCATTTACTTAACATGGCGATGTCCAGGGATGCAGTCAATTGCCTTTTCCTGCATATATATTCAACTACTTTAAAATGCATTTGGCTTAAAAAACTTCATGGTCAGTATGTTTCGCTTCTCGGATGCTTTTTCTTATATAAAAGACAAAAAAAAAATTTTCATTTTCACATGTTGTCTCTGTTGGGACTCAAACCCGGGCCTTCTGGAAGCTAACAAATAACAGCAAGCATCTCTTCCGCAGCCAGACATGTAAATGTACTTTCAGTTTGAAGTGTGTGCATTAGGGTGGTCCAAAATGCATGTGAAAAAGTAAAGTCGGAATTTTTTTGCTCTCATCCCCTAGGATTGTTCTATACCGAAAAAAAGTATACCCTTATTTCTTTATTTTGAAATCAAAAAATATTTAGAGGTCGCTTAAAGCTCCCAAAATTTTCCATGTATGTATTTTATATGGGGAAAAACAACTTTTCGGGTACACTTTTTTTCAATATAGAACAATCCTAGGGGGTGAGAGCATTACAATTCCGACTTTACTGTTTTTGGAGCACCCTAGTGTGCATGCAGCTAGTCGATTGTCCGAATTTAAATTTGCTTTAAAATGCATTTGGTTTAAACAACTTCAAAGTCAGTATGTTTCTTATGAATACGATTGCGTTCTGCACTTCACAGATGCTTTTTCATACTTCCAAGACACAAATTGTTTCTTTGTGTAAAAAGAGCATCAAAATTCGAAACATTTACTCATTCCATTTGTTTTAAAGTAGTCTTTCATTTAGTTGATTAAAAAAATCACTTGCTTCCGTCAGGGTATGTACACTTACATATAAATACTCATGTGGACATCCAAATCAGGGTTGTTGCGAATATTCGTATTCGTATTCGCAACCGCGGAGCTTCGGCATTAATTTTAACATTCGCGTTCGCAAAAATCAATGTAGTTATACCTGCGAACGTTTTTAATGCCCGCTTACTCATGGTCTGGTTAACACTAATCTTCGGTTAAACATCGTAAGCGACGTTACCGAGTCCCTGTTATATGCATGGAGTCGAAGACGTCGATAACGATGTTTAACCGGAGATTTATGTTAACCATATAATGATTAACCGGCACTAAGTTTGTTGTTGTGGATCCGCCAGAGTGCGCTGGATTTGAGATCTTTTTGTAAAAATTGGCGAGAAAGCAATAATAGAGCTCACACACTACATTTCAATGAATATGTATTTCAAAAACTCGCTGCAATTTTTTTTTCAAAGCTTGTTTCTCTCTTTGATGCAATACATGTAAATAATTTTTACATTTTCTCATTTCTATCATTTCAGATTAATTGATTTTGGTATCGATGAACATGAGTATGACGAGGTTCATGAACTACCAGAAGAATCCAACATTAATCCACAAATTGCAACTACAACAACAGATATACACGTACAACAGCAGCAACCACTCTTACACGCCACAAATACAAAAAACAACAACAACAGCACAAACACAACGGATTTACCCCCCGAATTGCCACCGCCAAAGCAAAACAAAGTGAAGAACTCAAAGAAAAATAAATCGAAATCGAAAATTCCACGCTCACCATCACTTGCCTCGAGCAGCAGCAGTGCTGCGTTAACGACGACAACTGGTGGCGGTAGTAATCATCTAAACAACAGCGGCAATAATTTTGGTAGTGCAATTAATTATTCACAATCGGTCAGTGGTGGCCGCAACACACCATACTCATCCATACCACCACAGACACCACCACTGCCGGCCAACTATCAACAAAGTAAATTGCAACATATGAATGGTGGCAACGTCACACCAACACAAAAGATTCCACAAACGCCATTAGGTGCATTCGGTGCCGGCATTTCACCTGTGACGCCAACAACACCAACAATTCTGGTGTCCAACAGCGGTGGTAATAATAATGTTGGTTTCGCAAGCACACCAACCGGTGGTAGTGTTGTTGTTGGTGGACTCGCAGTGATGGGTGGCGGTAGTGTGCCACTTAGTGGTGGCCTCGGTGCCAATGGCTCAAGCGTTGGCGGCAATGGCGTCGGTGGTGGCGGTGGGGGTAATCAGCGGGGAAGCGTTAATATGGCTTCAGCTCGACGCCCACAGCTGCAAATCTCTCCCATACCGGAGTCGCCGAAACATTTTCAGTATTTGACTTTGACGGTGCGCAAGGACGAGAATGGATATGGCATGAAGGTAAGATAAATTGAATGCATGTACTTATGCATGTATTTTTCTTTTATGAAACTTATCTATCAACTACAAATAGAAATGGTGGTCAGATACGTAAAGCATTTAGAGCTTTTATTAATCGCCCTTTTAATAACATCTGAGATTTTTCGATGCTCTAGTATGGCTGGAAGGTAAAAACTAATAGCGTTTTCTTTTCTTGAAATAATGTTGCATTTATTCTGTCCTGCGCCAGGGGTGCCAAGTTTTCGTTTTCTTTTTTCGGCATTTTCACATGCATATTGCGTGCTCTTTCCTTAAAAGGTTGCACTCTGATAATGTTGCCATATAAGTAGGTGACATTTTTTTCGAGAAAAGGAAACGCAATAATGTTCTGAACTGCAGTTTTCTCACGTAGAGGTTCGAGTTTGTCTTCCGTCCACCTGAAATTCCTAAAGAGAATACTTCTAGTACTATCTTCGTGGAGAGAAAACTGAATATATCTTTAAGGGAATGCACAGAAGATCGCCTTAGTCGGAAATGCAGGACATCGGGGGACTAAGGGAGATCAATTTTTTCGAGAGAGCTGCAGAAATAAAAATCTCTGCTGAGTTCTTGTATACCAAAGCCAGTCTAACCTCAAGTACACAAAGTTAAGCTTGGGAGAAAATACCCAATGCCCTGATACTTATTATTGTTGTATGGCTGTCACTTGCCAGAGCTTGTCATGGCGATACCAATAAATCCCTTGTCAAAAAACATGCCAGAAACAGGATAGGTTACTCCAGGTAGGATTTTGTAGGACGCAACGAGTCCAGACACTGCTAAAGTATCTCAGTTAAAGAAATCTTTCCAACTACAAAAGTGATTATCTTAAAGGGAAACTATTCTGGTGCCAGTCCAGACTCTATGAAAATAAATTGCTTTCAGTTAAACTGTCCTGTGCTCGTAAACGAACTAGAGAAAATCTACCTAGCACCCGAACTGGTTATCCAAGTCAAGATATTGCGGCTGATTAAGTTTTGTATGTTAGGGCTTATTAATATAGTATTGAGCGCTGGAATAGATTATATGTAGAAAGGATTTCCATGCCAGAACCTGTTTTGGCACTATTGGTAAAATCCCAGTTGGGGAAATCTAACGGATTCAGGGCTTTGATTAGAGAATTTCCTGCCGGGACATTACTCATTTTGCCTAGGATTTTAACAAATTGTTTTAATAAAGGCAAGGGGACAGAGATGGCTCTTGAAACCAAAAGTGCGCTCACGATATTCTGATTTCCCAACTCCATCGTCTCACATGCGGGTCAATCTCTTTTTTGTTCATGTTGATGATTTGCACGACTGTCCTACAGACAATAAAAGCATGGCCATATGGTTTATCCACTTTGCTATCCTAATAGGAAGTTAACCATTATTAGATCAATACAAACACTCCATTGATGTTTGTTCTATTTGATTTTGTCTCACACAAGAGAAATATTCGAAATAAAGTCTCATTTTATTTGACTTTACATCATTTTGCAATATTTCATTTAACTTATTGATTTAATTTGAATTGACTTTTAAACAGTTGGCAACCCTCTTTATAAATATTTTCGAAACAAAATTTTCTCGCACCTCCTGCGATTAACATCCATTTTGTAATACTTTAAAATTGAATTTGGCTTTGAAACAGCATTTTCAAAATAAAGCTACTTTGCCATCGATATTGTGTAACGTCTTTTAACTTATTAATAAAATTGAATATATGTGGTAAAGCTCTTGAACATGTTTTCGTACTAAAACTTTTTTTAAATCTTGATCGTTTGGCATCAATACTGTAAAACTTCGTTGAATTTATTATATAAAATATAATTTTACTTTTTAAACAGCTGGCAACCCTCTGCTCAAAATATCATAAGCTGATTTCATTCACCTTGCCAATTATATTGGTTTTAAATTCCGAAAATGGTGGCAACCCTCGTCAAAAATAATCTTCATGAAACCTCTCTCGTTTGATACCCAGATTCAAATATTTTATTTTACTTGTTAAAGTGATTTTTAATTTCTAAACAGGTTGCAGCCGCTTTGAAAGTATTTTTAGAATAAAGCTTTCTCTATCAGTTGGAAACCATATTAAAATATTTCGTTTAATTTGTTATGTAAACAGATTTTAAATTTTTGAACAGGTGGCAACCTTTTTAAAAAATATTTCCGTAAAAACCGCTTTTGAATGGATTCTGTTTGACAATCACATTGTTGTGATACTTTATTTAACTTATCAATTAACGGATTTTTAAATTTAGAAGGTGGCAACCCCCTTAAAAATATTTTAAAAATAAAATGGTTTTAAAACCCCTTTCCTTTGACAGCCAGATTGTTGTAATATTTTATTTGACTTCTTAATTGATTGATTATAAAGGTGGCGCGCCTCCTAAAATCATATCCTATATGTAAATCCAAGCTATAATATAACTGTGTTCCAAATACCATTGAAATCCGTCCAGCCGTTTTTGTGTGAAGGGGCAACAAATATATTCACATACTCACATACTCACACACTCACTCACAACTTTCACATTTATAATACTAGTAGGATTTTCTTTTAATTTTATTGAATGAGCAGTGCGAACTGGACCATATTTGTTACCATTCTGTAAAAAGATACACTTGAACGTTTCGTTTATTGCTTGGCATGATGAGTCACGGAATAGGTACTTCCTACTCCAAGCGATTTTTCCGCTCTTAGTATTGCATGTCACTGCGAATCTCATACAGCTTATTTGACCACTTACTGTCAAGCGCAGTTTACAAACAATTAAGGGATTAGAGCCTATATACAAAACTGGCGTTAAATTCAAACCCACTAAAAGTGTTTGTCAATGCTACCCTAGCAACAAACCACTAACGATATATCGGCTCCAATCTTTCTTTTTTTAATTGCTGATCTGTCCAATTGCTGTTGTTGTCCATATTACGATTTTGTCCACCAAAAAAATCAGCGCATGCGATCTTGCGATATGTAAATTTTTAAAGTATTTTTTTTTTTAATATAATTGTTGTCATTAGTCAGTTGTAGCAGACGAGGTAATTTAGCATACTTTTTCTGCCGTTAACATCGCACATCGCCGTGTGCACTACCGATGACTGCTAAGATTTTTCATATTAATTTTGTTGTTTGGTCTTTTTAATTTTTTCCTTACGTTTATATTTGCTTTCGTCTTTTTATTTTTATTTACATTTCGGTTATTTTTATGGCGACGTCGACGACGATTAAGTCAGCATTTAGTTAAAATGAATTGTTTTTGTTTGTGAATTTGAAAATGAAGTCATCATTCGTTTTGTTGTTGGTCGCTAATATTCGACCGAACTAAAGTGGCAATCATGCAACATTGGAATCGGCACGATCGGGGTGATGTTGATGCTTGTGTAAGTACACATGTGCAGATTGCGCTTCTTTACTCATTTATTAAAAATTAATCATATGAATGCAATTTGTGGACACTCTGCCTTTTGTAGTTGTCGTCAATGCGTCTGTGCTTCGGCAAACGTTGCATTATTATTATTATTATTTTTGTAGATAGCGATGCGCTCCATACCAGGGTTGCCACTTTGGTAAATTGTTACCAAAATTGTTAAAAAAAATTTGGGTTGGTAAAAGGCAAATTTTTTCTCATTTTGGTAGATTTTTGATGAACTTTCCGTTCCCGACTTATTTTTCGTAGTTATCTTCAAATATATTATAAATTTCTTTGCATACTGCGAACATATCGCGCTCCATTCAAAACTAATTTTACTGGAATCCCGAGGAGCTTTTGATTGCCTCAATATTTTAAATGATTATTTAAATATAAAGAAAAAATTGACTGGTATGTAATTACGCACTATGATTGTTCGCAAAAATAATTAAATCAACGCCGTTTTTTATCAATGGAAAAAAAGTAAAAAAAATCAACGGGAATTTTAAGCAGCACATTGTTCTAAAAATTCAGAGTAAAAAATTCTAAATTTACACGAAAATTTTTGGAATTTTTCTATATGTTGTATATAGTTTGAATCCTCGATTTTTATGGATTTAGTTAAACCAACAAAATATTTTTACTCGAAAAATATTGCGAATATTAAAAAAAAATCACTTTTTTGAGTCACTGTATTTGTCTTGAGTTGAAGTTTTTCAAATAATGAAGTTTCATTGTTGGCTTTAGTTTCATCACTTCCGCTTTTCGTTGAAGGAAACTGAGAATATGCCAATAATATGACTCAAATACCGTATAACTAGTTAAATAAATTTAATTTCTTATTGAAATAACTAAAAAAAAAAAATAAAAAAAACTATAGTTTTAATTTAAAAAAATAAAAAAATAACAAAACTATAGTTTTTATTAAAATAATTATAAAAAAGTTAATTGTAGATATTTCCCAGATTTGGTAGATTTTTTTCAAGTGGATGGTAGATATTTTTTTTCGTCAGTGGCAACCCTGCTCCATACCCTCTGTGTTCACAGCTCTCTCACTTTCTCGCTAAATAACAGCTCTCACGTGATTGGTTCAAGCAATTCAATTTTAATTTCTTTTACATTTATTATCGACCATTATTACATTTTATCCACTTGAATAGCACTTTAATCGATCACAGTTTTTATTATTGTTTTATCTTTTTATTGCTAATTAGCCGATCAGTTATGTGGAACTGTGACATTTGCCAGGCAACTTTTACAATTTCCTTGATTAACCTGTCTGTTGTTCGTCCGTCGCTGAACAAAGATTACATAAGATAAGTGTGAAAAAATGACGTACGCGTTTTTTAATAAAAAAAATGGCAGTATTATTGATACTGCCACTGTGACAGATGATAATTTATCATTTTTAATTACTCCCGCAGTCCCTGATATAGTCGATCAGTTACATTAGCTGACAAAGTGAGAGTGAAAGGTCAGCTGATTTCCCATGAGATAAACCATGCGACAGACATACAAACGAATCCTAGTTAGATGCAAACGGTTTTAAGAAGTGCGATGTGGAGAAAATAAGGATTCAAAGTAGTTC